AATTCTGCAATCTAGGAATTTAAAAAATATAAAATCAGATTGAGAGAAAATCACTCAAAAAAGGCTTACATCTTCTGTCGACTCAATGAGAGTGCAAGAAGAATCAGAAGCAGCACTCGACTGTGCATTATCCACCTGCATCTGAATTTGTGAAGAGAAGATGAAAACCAAGCCAAGTATGTGACAATGTGAAAATGTGAATGTGGCAGTAAAGACTTATAAATTTACCCTACCCGTGACTTTCTGCCAGCGAGCATTTGTGAGGGTCAGTAGTACTCAAATTTATTATGAGGTTATAAAGCCATTGACTTTATAAACTAATAATGAATTTCATTTTTAGAGTACTCGTTTTATAGGAATTCCTGCAATCAAAAGCACGACAGATAATATTCTTCGAAAATACGGTAACAGGAGCCAAGCAGCAAAATGTTGTTTGCATTGCAGTAGAGCACTGTTACGCAACTAACTTAATAACAAAGTCAATGATTTTCCAAAATTCAACACTGCCGAATGAAAAGTAATGTAGTTTGGGAATGAGCAAGAGGTGTAAAATGGCTTCGTAAATGTACCTGTTCCTCGGAACTGTTGGCGGTTACGGGAATATTTGCATTTTGGTCCGTCAGAAGGTGTTCTCTCGATTTTGCATTTTTGCGACCACTTCGCCTTCTACCCATCTACGAGAAGGGATTTAAAGAAAAAATCAACGAAAGAATTCTAACTATGAAAAACGACTGCTGAATGTAAGAAAGTATTGTAAGATAAAGTTAATATACGGAGAAAAGAATAATGACGGTGAGTAGATCCCGCAATTATTCTGACTATTCAACCTTGTTCTTCGAGATGATAACGGAGGTCCAGACTAAGTTATGGCTAGACTTTTTAAAATGTCCCGTCCTTCATTCACTAGAATGCAACAGCCAAAAAATGATATATACGACAGTAAGAGAATATGCATTATGAAGAAGAGGGCGACGAATCAAAAACTAAAAGCTGATACTAATTTCACGAATATTGGTTAAAGTCATCGAATAACTCTGCAAATGTACGTAATTATGCGTGGAACAGAAAACACGCGCTGATATGTTTGTCGGTCTCGGACCGACGGCTACAGTGCGCGTTTAGCGCATTTTCAGAAGATGTCCTAAAATCATTAATTCGATTTGAAAACCAAGCATATGGGATTTGATCTTCGCATTATGATAGTTTTGCGGTAATGGAGTTGTACTAAGTTCTCGCTTTGCTTCCATCTCTTAAGTTAGAAGAGAAATTGAGATACATCTTGTCTTGAAT